TCTGTACCGTACACATTTTCTATTTAACGGATAATTATTAAGTTCCATAAAAATGTGTGTTTGAATCATCAATAATAAACATTATGTTTTCTGTAAAAAAATAATATAGGTCCATTAAAAATGTACGTTTCAAAACTAAAAATAATTGTAATTTTTAACAATTATTATATTTTTTTCCTACATACTCGTAAACATCATTTTAAGTCCGACTAAATAAAAAAAAATATTAAACATTGAAATCCAATGTCATTAGCTTAAGAGGTTTGTGAAGCAATCAAGGGGGAGAGGGTAAACCTGAATCTCACTTAATCTCACGTGGGGGACAGCGGGTGTTTCGACAAATATCATGTACTTCTTGTCGGGGGAAAAAATAGTGTAAAAATGTGAGACATTTAATTCAAAGTAAAATCAGGTTTCGAGACTAAAATGTGTCGAAATCGGACACAATTCTTCTGTACAGGGTGTCCCACTAAGATTAGCCCTCTACTGTGTCTCGGAAAGTATTAGTCGTAGAACTTACGGAAAAAAATATTTATAACTAAAGAAACCATGAGAAATTGCTGGAAATTATTTTTAAGTTTGTAGAACGGCCGCTAGAGGGCGTAACTGCTATGGAAAATAACAAAATGCAATGTTTAAGAAATTTTGCCTAGGTAAGATGTATTATAAATAATAGCTTCATAATATTCAGTAAATTTTGGATCTTTTTTGGTAGAACCATTTTCCCCTATGGGGCCATCCATAAATTACGTCACACGTTAATGGAGGGGAGGGTATCACCGTAATGTAACATAGTGTGTCAAGGGGCAGGGGGGGTTAAAAGTTTTGTGACGTAACATGTTAAAATTTAAAATAGTAAAGCACGAAATTTATACATATATGTAAAAAAAACTTGAAAAATTTTCGACTTTGATCTATATATATACAGGGTGTTTCAAAACAAATGCGAAAAACTTCAGGGGTTGATTCCTTGTTCAAAATAAAGGGTAGTTTGCTTCATAAACGTTGGGTCAAAAGTCAACCATTAGGGAGATATTGCGGTACAAAGATGGCGGAAAAATAATGTTTTTATTTTTTATCTTGAAAACGAAAAGAGATAGACTAATAAAATTTTATGGAAGCATTACTGTTATGAAAACACACTTTTTGGTAATTTTTCACTTTTTAAAATGAGTGGAAGGGGTTGAAATAAACTACCCCTATCATTCTTGTTAACGAAATTTAAAGAAAATCTTATCAAACACATGCAAAAAATTAATTTGGATAGTTTAGTTTGTTTAGAAACTTTTTTATCTCTTGTATTTTTTGATAAAACTCACCGATTTGAAATTAAATAATAAAATGTAAAGCATTACATGTCAAGACAAAAACATTTTCTGATAAAGAATCTAGTGGGCTGCTGTAATTTTTTAGAAAAAATCTAGTCGGCCGCTGTTACTTTTTAGGATGTTTCTAATATTATTTTATTTGACATTACTCTACTGCAATACGTTGTTATCTAGATGATTATTATTATCGTTATTATCACTAGATTCTTAATCTGAAAATGTTTTTTGTCCTGACATGTAATGCTTTACATTTTATTTTTAATTTCCAATCGGTGAGTTTTATCAAAAAACACAAGAGGTAAAAAGTTTCTAAACAAACTAAACTATCCAAATTAAAGCATTTGCATGTGTTTGATAAGATTTTTCTTTAAATTTCGTTAACAAGAATGATAGGGGTAGTTTAATTCAACCCTTCCACTCATTTAAAAAAAAAGTAAAAAATTACCTGAAAGTGTGTTTTCATAACAGTAATGCTTCCATAAAATTTCATTAGTCTATCTCTTTTCGTTTTCAAGATAAAAAATAAAAACATTATTTTTCCGCCATCTTTGTACCGCGATATCTCCCTAATGGTTGACTTTTGACCCAACGTTTATAAAGCAAACTACCCTTTATTTTTAACAAGGAATCACCCCCTGAAGATTTTCGCATTTGTTTTGAAACACCCTGTATATGTATTTATTAATAATTTAGCACTCACATTTAATAAAAATAAGAAAAAAATGAAAATAACAGTTTTCTTTTCATGATTTTTTAATACATGCATAAATTTGAAAAATATGTGACGTCACATCAGGGGGGAGGGTGTTCTAAAAACGTGACAACCTGTGACAAGGACGGGGGGAGGGATTCAAAAGTCCTAAAATTCGTGTGACGTAATTTATGGATGGCCCCTATCTGCTAAAATAATGTGGTGGGGGAAGGTTAGATCTGTTTTTATTTAAATATTAATAACTCCGGACTGGATGATCGGAATCCAACAAATGAGAGCTCGTTTAAAAGAGTTAATCTATAAACTCTTAATCTATAATATACCACGTAAACAACAATAATAAGCTTTTGAATGTATAGACGCTAGGGAGAGCGTCTTACAATTTAACAAACACATTTACATATTAATATTAAACGTAGTAGTAATGCGACTATTACTGGTATTAAAATGTAAATTTATAATTTTGTTTTTGTGACGTCCAAGGTTATAATAAAAAGGTTTTGATAAAGATCTTATAAAGATCGAAACGTTGACTATGATAATTTGTTTGATTGTTTGACTTAAAAAATACATTTTATTACGGACCATAATCCCAAGAAGCAATCTTCAAAAAAAAACATCTTAATTTTTAGTTATTAATATATCTGGTATTATGGTATTCTGATTTTAAAATAAACTAATCGTTTTTATCTTATTTTTTATTAGAATGGGCATAATTAAAAGGGGGCTACTGATACCGTGTTATAAAAATAAGGTAGGTAATTAAAGACTTATTTTTTGTATTTATTATAATTTTGCTAATATCTTCGGTTTGAAAGAGGATATCAAGATGCGGTTTTGGCTGACTTTGTAAGCTTTTATTACTCTTTAGAGCTAAAATTACATAAATATACTGTACAATTTAATTTTTTTGAAAAAAACGCGCAATCTTTGTTAAATTGTAAGACAGTGCTCCCTAGCGTCTACATTCAAAAGTTTATTATTATTGTTTTTACGGTACAATATAGCGTAACGAAATCACATGGATTTGTTAGTACCAACAGTCACTCTTGAGACCGAGCATTAGTCTCCATAGACTGTATTATAATGAATGTACGCTATTAATTTTAGTCATGTTATCAATGTAATTCTAAATTACGATCTAAACAATCTCAAATACTAGTCTTTACTAGCCTTAATAAAGATAATAAAGAAAAGTTGTTGTCGATTGCCATTCCTCAGTCGTCTTTGACGCCATTTATTTCGATTAAACGGTATCGTATGATCGAAAAAAAAAACGACGTCCAGTTGGCTGGGAAATGACAATCGATGATATTTCCCATATAAAATGACAGCGATCTTCTTTTCATAGCCATTGCTGTCGCCGTTTTTTTTTCGATCATACGGTATTATAAATATCTTTTAAATAATTTTTCTTTTAGTACAATTCATTTTGGCTATATAAAAGTTAATGGAAAAAAATTACTTTTTACTTTAAGAAGTTATACTTATTTATAAGTTTATAAACTGACCCGGCAAACGTTGTTTTGTCATATAAATATTTTTGTGGGACAACAGTCATTTTTATTCACGGGATTAAAAATTATTGAATTACTATTATATATTAAAAAATAGAGGATGATGGTAGAAGGGTTAAAATAGGGTTGTATGTATTTTTTAATAACGCATCATAAAAGAATAAAAATAAAAAATGTTGTTCAAAAAATTAAAAAAAAAATTGGGGTGGACCACCCTTATCACTGAGAGGTATAAAAAACAAATAACAACCTATTCTCATACTGAATAAACATATAAAATTTCATCAAAATCGGTTAAGTCGTTTCGGAGGAGTATGGTGTATAAGTAAACTGTGACACGATAATTTTATATAATATTAGATATACAGGCAGTGAGTAAAGTACTAGGTTTAAATTAAATTTGCGATGATAGATATTGTGACTTTGGGAAAAAAATTGGATTGGCCTGGATTTTCCATTTTGATTGGTATTATTAATTTCTTTTGTGGCAATTTTATTTTATACCACATTTTAATTTATTTATAAATGTCTTGCTGGGAGGGGCAATTACCCCATCCCCCCTCCCGTATGTGCGCCCCCTGAATACCAGTGTCCCACACCAGGTGTGAATACCCATAATATCCATTCTCAAAAAATATTGTAAATTACACTTGACATTTCCTTACAAGAATATTTGTCTCTATAGGCCCAATTATTCCAGTTATATTATGGACTTTTTTTCAAAAACGGTTTACACTAAAAAAAAACAAATTTGATTTTGGATGCCACTGTTGATGATGACAAAGTGTGTACTGATGCAAAATAATTATTTTAAAACAGATTATCAGTGAATAAATATCAACTTGGGATACCAAAAACTGTTGACAAAAACAAATTTCATTCATAAATTACGTTCATTTATCTCAGAATATAAAAGGGGCGCAATTGTTGAGAGCTATATAAAAGTTCAGAAAATTTTGTCTAAAAATTCTCATAATTTAAAAACTTGGTTATCGATGATGACATTATGGATCTTTAGAAAGGAATTTTTGTGGGAAATCAGCCAAGCGGAAAAAAAAGTTAGTGAAAAAAATATATTTGAATCACCCTGTAGTCTATAAATATATTTTTAAATCAATACCGGCATATTTTGTAAAAAAATTAAATAAAAAACCTGATATAGAAATTTTCGTAACACAAATCACCCTGTATACGCAAATAACTTTATTCTGAAAAGCCAAATCAAAAAAAATTAAACCACCCTCATTTAAAAAAAATAATTATCTCAATATTTTCGCACTTATATTCATTTACACCCTGCGCCCTTGCGTAATTTTACTCCGGCTGTGGAAGTCAGTGCATTTTTACATTTTAAATACAACCTTACACTGCTATTGGTATCGATACTTTTAAAATTAGATACGAGAAATTAGAAACTCATAAGAAAACTGGTCTTTTACTTACCGGTCAATCGTCTGTTTTTGTTTAGGCCACGCAGCACTACTACTTGTTCTGCAGCGACTTGGATTATAGGAGGACCATCGACCTCACTTATAAGCGAAATATGGAGGGGCCACCCAATGCCAGCATAGCTTTATTTTTGTTCTTCTTACGAATGCGATTGTTTGCCAATTTAAATAAAGTTTTGTTTTTTTAGAACTTTAAAGTTAAGGTGTGTGCAACCAAAATATTTTGTTGCATTCTTTTAAAAGACGGCGATTTTCTTGAATTAAAGAAATACCAAATTAGCATAGTTTACTGGAGTTCAATAATTCCGCTCGCTAGTTCCAAACAGGGCATACGATCGAAACAAAAACGGCGTCAGTGTTGGCGTGGAGATGAATATCGCTATTATTTTATATGTATAGGGTGAGTTTCCTACGATGTTCTCTATGGCTATCTCGGAAACTACTGGAGATAGAGAGTCGGTTAAATGGGGAATGAATTCCAGTTTTGTGGGGTCATAAATATGCGCCTTTTAGATTTTTGAAAAAGTTTATGGCTTACTAGATACGTATTTCGAAAAAAAAACAAATTTTGACTATTTTAAAAATTGTGCCTAATTTCATTATAATCTATTTTAGACAAAAAGTTTTCAGATAAATTTGTAGATAATCACATCCAGAATGAGTTTGTGTTCTCCGATTTTTTCTAAAGCCTGTCATTTTTGACATATGACACAAATATATGTTTTTTTAAATGGAAACCATAGTTGGCCGTAACTTTATAAAAAGCGACATATTTTAAGCTTCTCAGCGATATAAGCTATATGTTTTTTTCAAAAAATTACTGAGTTATAGCCAATTCTTAACTAGACTAATTTCGCTTAGTTGACATGGTGTTCTTATTTTGTTATGATTTATAACTTATAAAAGGAAAAAATATAGTATTAAACGGCTCTTTACAATTTACATTACACAAACTAAAACTTAAAAAAAATATCCCTACATACACTAAGTTATTTTAGAAGATGTTCAAAAAATCCGCCATAGTTTTGAGTACATACATAAATGCGTCTTTTTCGAACTGAATTTCTAGCTATTCTCACAGAACGACCGGTCGACTTAATTAAACTTTTCCTGTTAATTCATAAGTTTTTTTGTAAACCTTGTTGTTAACCATACCGCATAAAAAATCTAAAATAGATAGGTCACAGGTCACAAAAAACTTAAATTTTTTCTTTGACTTAAATCATTTTAATGGCTTAAGTCATTTGATTTTAAGTCATTTTTCAAAAGCAAACTTAAGACTTAAAATTTAAGTTTCTTTTAAAACTGAATTTTTGCAGCTCTGATAGGTCAGTTGATCGAGGAGACCCATGCAATTGTATGGATTCCTCACGTAAAAATAAGATTTATTGTTCATATCAACATAGCTCCGTTTTTGCTTTGTTTCGTAGCTACAGGGTGTTAAAGTCATTTTTAGATTTATTATAATTTTCTTCCAAGTAGTTTTAGTGATTTGAATGAAATTTTGAGGGTAGAAGTTACTATAAGTTATATATAGTTATAGCTATTTTAATGCTAAATAGTGTCGATAAATTCATTCATTTTGCATATGGGTTATCACAGGAATATTTTTCGAAAAAAAAACATGTGCCCTAGTGACTGTTTTTCTATTGATATCAAAATTGTGTAGGCCGATTAATGCCGATTAAAAGTTATCTCTTGATATTTTGTAGAATTTGGCCTACAATCTAATTTTCAAAAGTTTTAACATCCTGTAACTCTAAAACTATACTTTTCCATACCCATGTTTATAGAAACTTTTTCTCTTATTTTTTGATGAGGAATCAATGAGTACTTATTAAGTTAATGATCTTAAAATTTTTAAAAGATTGCTATTAGACTTGGATCAAGGTACAAATTAATAAAATTGCGTTTATCCAAGGCTTTTATCAAGGAGGCCGAAATCGACGAAATATCAATAGACAACTTTTAATCGGCTTTAAACTACCTATACTATTTCGCTATCAAGTGAAACAAATTCATTGGCTATGCACGTCCCTGGTGAATATGTCGATACTTCTTTAATTTTAAAATATGTCTTATTTATTATTTATAGTAACTTTTACCCTCAAAATTTCATTCCAAACGCTAAAAGTACTTGGAAAATAAATCGAAAAAATATTAAGACCTTAACACCCTGTAGCTACGAAACAAAGAATCGGACCTATGTTGATATGAAAAATAAATCTTATTTTTACGTGAGGAATCTCCCCACGAGAGATGGCACATGCTTTTTGAAACACCTACTATAAGGAATGTCGTTGATAGTCATTTTCAAATCAATTTATCACCGTATATTTTTGATCATGCGCATGTTTCTTTTATTTACAGATTGGGATGAAAAATCTCATTTTGTATCTCATTATATCGAAAAAAGTTATACAATGTACAATTTTTTTCGAGTGATATCTTGGTTGGCAAGAATGATTTTAATAAAATACTGGAAAGTTTACTTCTGAAAATCTCCATCTCGCAGTAATTTCAAGGCAATGTAAAATTTGTTGAGACACACTGCTTATTCGCATCAGTTGCAGGATGCAAGTAAATCGCATACCAAAATCTCTTCTTTACGGTGAGTTGGTTAGGTTAGGTAGACGGTAAGAGGAAAGCGGGTGGACAACTCAAAAAGTACAAAGATATTTTCTGTGAAAATTTAAAGGGGATAAACATACAAAAACAGTGGGAGGAAGCAGCGCGCTATAGAACGCAATGGAGAAGAATTGTAAACACAGTTACAACGACAGCCACAAGGTAAACGGGGAATAAAGTAAAGAATTGAGGAAAATGCAATTTTTCGTAAAATAAAAGGGAAAACTTTAACCTCATATTTATCATTTAGCTTCATCTACATTACAAAAAAAATATTATTTGCTACTGTTGATCTGTGATATAGTTTTTAAACTTTGATTTCAGTTTCTTTTAAATTTTTATATATTTTCTCTATATTACAAATTTGAAAAGCTAGCAAACGCCGCGCCGCGCCGGTTTCTTAGCGATAAACTTACAATAAGTCGATCGTCTCGATTCGAAGTTCTGATACGAAGGTATTTGGACGTCTTGCATTTGAACTTGTATCGAGGAGGCGACTGCACTGTACTTCGTGCACACCTATATCTGTTAGCGACATAATTTCGATCTCTATCATCTTTAATTAAAGCAACTATAGCGCAACTCCTGGACTTAAAAAGCATCTCTGCTGGAGTAACTGCCCAACAGCCAACTGACAATAATGATATGCTTTTTCAGTAACAGGGACATGGCGTAAACATCAACACTATTTTATAGGTCTGTTGCATAGAGTTAAAAATTGTATGTTGACTGGGACCAAAAGCAAAGGTAAGGTTTTAATATAAAAATTACGAAAAAAGTTAGTGTTTTCTTCAAAGACGAATATCTCCAAAAAAAATAAAGCTATTAAGATGAACTAAAAAATAAACTATCGATGAAATATGCATCTAGCTGATAATAGCTATTTTTGTGACAACTTGCGAAATGAATGTGTTTTAAGCACGGGACGCAAAATTCGTTGAGTGCTTAAAACACTCTTTTCGCAACGAATTTCATAAAAGATTTTTTGTGAAAGCGGATAATTTGAGATTTTCATGCTATTATTATTATTCATTTTTAAACATTTTTTTAAAATGTTCTGGTAATCGGTTTCTATAAGGCATTGTTTAATGACAAAGTTCTGTCAGGTTTAAACGTCGCACAATGGAACGAGCCCATGTTAAATGTTGGACATGGGGCTAAAATTTTTTTTGGGAAAATGGAAAACTGAATATGGTAGTTTCAAAAACAAATGTCAGTCCTCTCTTAAAAACTGATTTTTAGAAAACAAAAATGTATTTTGTCGTTTTTACAAAGGTTTAAAATTAACCGTTTTCAAAAATGCTAATTCATGTTGAAAATATTAACACAATTTGATTTTTTTATTGCTCAAGCTGCGGTAGGTTTTTTAAAAAATATTATTTTTTTAATTTAACTCGTTCTTTGTGAATTAATTTTTGGCAAAATTTTGTACATACATCTCATCAATCACCCACTATATATTTTTGAATTAAAAAGTTTTGAATTATTATTATAGATCTAATCATCAAGAAATATGAAGTAAGTGCCGCAAGGTACCATAAAAAGAATAGCGGCATATACATATAGACCATTATACCCTTATTATAAACATATATAAAAAAGTTGCCCCAATTTGCCGTTTTTTGAAAAAAATAAATTTTGATCTATACGATGGCTACTATTTCCAAGGGGCTTTTAAGTAATTTACATAGGTTAAACAAGTCTGGCTTTAAAAATATATTGTTATTCCGATATTATTATTAGGTACTATCCTAAATCGTATATTAGTAGATTATATCCAAATCATTGCACCCCCCCCCCCCCGATACATCTACGGTTTTATTATTATAAGCAGAACTATTAAAAAAATAATTCTCAAATAGGACTTTAATGAGAAATTAGTGTTCTATCACTTTACTATAGTTATTTTCCTAACAAATGCGTAAAGTGATACTTTCCCGCACGCCTTATTTGACATTTACCCTGACATTAACAAATACTGCTAGTCGTTCAAATAATTTTCAAATATGCAGTAATTTAATATGGTTATCACTTGGCTGAAATATTCAAAAACGAAAAGAAAAGCATGCTAAACCATTATTTTTTACCATTATTTTGTCCAGAAAACATTAACTTTATCTAAAACTGCGTTTATTAAAATACAAACTTAAAAGTACCTAATTTTTAAAATTGTTCGTCATCTTCAATTTTTATGAAATATCAATTTTGACATTAAATTTGTATATTTCAAAGCATTGGCTTTCCAAAATTACCACAAATAATAAAATCGGACCAAAAATGTTTCAGTAATGAACAATTTTCAAAGGCTCATTTTTGTTGACCACCCAATATAATAAATTATTAATCTATTAAAAATATTTTTTCTAATAAAACTCAAAGTTCCTCCACTCCAGAAAAACTCAAAACGAAAAAATTTGATAACAATGAAGCAAAGTTATGGGCTTTAAAAAAAATTGGTTTTGGTAAAACACACTATATTTTTGGGGCGCCCTA